TTAGAATCTTTATCAGTGTAGAGTCCCCATCTTCTGTTTCTTTATCCTCCTCTGTCCTATTTTTCTTCTTGGACTGCACCTGAGGCTTGTTAGGAGTAGTCGGCGGCGCAACACGTTTGCTCCCGCTCACGGACTTTTCACCCGACATTTCCACACAGTAAGCGTGATCCTTTAAGCTCATAAATGCCTAAGATGACTTCACTCCTCAAGCAACAATATTTTAGCCAACTGAATGAGAGTAAAAGGGCTATTTACTTTGCAATTTCGAGGGAAACAGTGAGAGCTCCTAGACGGACATGCTACTCAGAGCGCCATCTTTTGCCCCCCCCCCCCCCAGTGATGAAGAGCTGGTCCAGGGCGGGCTCCCACTGGAGAGGCGACAAGATGGCGGAGTGAGCAGTTGGTTTATAGCAGGATCCAAAGGGAAAACAGTATTTTTCCAAGTCCAAACGCTGTTTAAAGGTAAGAAAACCAAGCCATAACGTATTAGAAGCGACTTTCATCCGTTTTTTGACAAACTGAGGAACTTTTTTGAAGAGCTAATTACGGTGAGAGAGAGTTAAAGATGGAACAACGTAGCGAAGCTAGCATCGACGTTCATGATTATGGCATGGCTGTGATGGATGATATGAGTGAAAACGAACCCCAAAATTTAGAGCAAGCTGATGATAATCTTGAGGACAGTCAAACTGATATGAACAGTCCGCAACCCAAAAAGCTGAGGAATAGAAGTGTGAAGGCAAGAGAGGAGAGTACAAACAGTCTTGTGCAAATGATGGAGATTCTGATAAAAAAAAATCTGTCGGGCTGGACGGGAAGTTGGAGAACATTGAAGGGAGAATGAACAATGTTCAAGAAGCTCTAAAAAAGTTGGAGGCTCTAGAAAGCAAACTACAAAACATTGAAAAAAGCACAGAAGACACGAAGAAAGAAACGAATGTAAACAAAGAAAACATCACTAAACTACAAAAACAAGTTGAGTTTCTGGGTGTCGAAAATAAAGCTCTGAAAGAGAAGGTACTGGAAGCTGAGAGGTACAAGAGGAGATGGAACCTCGGGCTTTTTGGGTTAGCTGAAAAAGAGGAAGAGAAAATCAGAGAGGATATCAGCATACTCACAAGAGTGGTCCCCATGTCTGTTGACGAGCTCTGCAGGAATGTGGACACCGTTTGGGAAAAAAAGATACAAGGAATACCAGGCCAAGACCCATTATCATTCAGTTTGTGTCACGTACGATGAAGGAAGAAGTGTGGAAGATGTCGAAAGAGGCCAGAGTATGCAAGGAGAAGAGGATCATCTTTAAAATGGACTTCTCCAAAGAGGATCGGAGGCGAGGGAGAAGCTGTGGCCCCAGGTGGAGGAAGCCAGACGACGTGGAAAGAAGGCCTTCTTGAAGGAAGGATACGCCATCATCGATGGGAGAAAGGTCTATATATGTTAGAAATATGATACATTTCAATATTCAGGAAAGGACCAATACACTTTTTTTTTAATATACTGTTCCTCTGTTAATATGGGCTGCTATTTTGAGAATGAGATCTCACTAGACCAAACAGCCCAATGTTTTTTTTATCTTCTGATTGTTAAAGGTGGAGGTTTTGGATGAGATATAATATAGTTGGACAATATTGCTCATTCCTGCTGTTTGGATAAATCCAGAGCAGATATACTAGGTAACATTCTGGCCATTTGTTTTGTTTGTTATGTCAGTTTTGTTTACTTCTTTGAATGTTAGAGGGTTGAAAAACACCATAAAGCGCAAGGCACTTTTTTATTTTGTAAAGAGCTTAAGGCCAACTTAATTTTGTTACAGGAAACACATTCAGGCATAGAGGAGGAAAAATTTTGGAAACAACAGTGGGGGGATAATATTTTATAAAGCCATGGTACCAGCTATTTGGCAGGGGTTATGATACTATTTAACAATTTACAGGGAAAGTAATTAATCATAGAGGAGACAAAGACGGCCACTGGTTAATAGCAGCTATAGAAATTTATGATCAGAAATGTTTTATACTTTCTATTTATGGATATAATAACAAAACTAAAAACAGAGAGATGTTAGAAAACTTGGGCAGAATGATAAAAGATTGGCAAAATGTTCATATGACAGATAAGGTGGTTGTGGGAGATTTTAGTATCGCACCAAACTCTTGGTTAGTTAAGTTACCACCTAGAGGTCAGCAACCTGAAAACAATGATATCTTACAAGATTTCTGTTCTATCACTAATACTTTTGACTATTGGAGATTAAATAATCCTACAAAATCAGAATACACATGGATCAGTGCTTCTAATGGAAACCAACGGTCAAGAATAGATTATTGGCTAATCTCTCACTCTATAGGTAACATTATAAAGAAATGTGAGATTATTACTTCTCCGCTTACTGATCACTGTTTAATAAGCTTAACTTTAATAATAATAAAACAAACATGCTCTTCAGACAGTTTATGGAAACTAAATAATAGCCTTTTATCAAATGAAGGGTTTTGCAAACAAATAAAAGCCCTTTGTCTAAAAGTAAAAAGGATGAATATGTCAAATAAAGGAAAATGGGAATGGTTTAAATTTGAAACAAAAAGGTTAGCAATTGAAATGGGGAAAATTATGACAAAAGAGAGAAAATTAAAGCAGAAAGAACTGCTAAAAAGAATCAGCCTACTCTGTGATAAAATTAATAACACGGAGGATGAACTAACAGAGCTAAACTTGCTCCAAAAACAGCTTGACGAAATTTATATAGAAATAGCGAATGGAGCCTTTGTAAGATCCAGGGCTAAGTGGATTGAAGAAGGCGAAAAGAACTCAACATATTTTTATGGATTAGAAAAGTCTAGACAATCCAAAAAGAAAATATGCAAATTAAAAAATGACACTGTAATAGTAGACCAAAATCAAATAAAGGAGGAAGTTCAACGTTTTTACTCAGACCTATATAGTTCTAATTTCTGTGAGGAGGAATGTAAATCCTTCTTCACTCAGATAAAGAACAATATTAAATCTACTGGAGAGGAAGACAGAAAAAATCTGGAGGATGATTTGAATATTAAAGAAATAGAAAATTCCATGAAAAAATGGGAAATCGCCCGGTTTGATGGATTGACCTCGGAATTTCTTAAATTTTTTTGGGAAGATGTTCAAGAATTGTTATTAAGTACATTTAATGAGTGTATAAATGAAGGATGTCTTACCCCAACAATGAAAACTGGAATAATAACCCTTTGATTGATGAAATTGTAGATGATAATCAGTCTGCATTTATAAAAGGAAGAAGCATACATAATAATGTGAGATTAGTACTGGATATGCTGGATTATAGGTCTATTTTGGAAACGGACAGCCTCGTTTTATTTATAGACTTATTTCAAAGCTTTTGATTCTATAGAACATAATTTTTTATTTTCCACCCTAGAATATTTCGGTTTTGGAAAAAAAAATTGTTCAGTGATAAAAATTTTCTATACTGATATTAACAGTTATGTTTCCTTAAACCCAGGATTAACAAAAAGAATAAATATAACTTGTGGAATAAGACAAGGATGTCCAATCAGCCCCAAACTGTTTATCTTATGTACACAACTATTAGCATATCTAGTAATAAATCATCCAAATTTTCAGGGTATACATTTTTTTGATTATGAATTTCGTTTAAGTCAGTTTGCAGATGACACTGTTTTTTTTTCTAAAGGATAAATCTATGGTTAACAAAGCATTACAAATTATTTCAATTTTTTTCCAAAGCATCAGGTCTTCGTCTGAACACAAAAAATTGTGAGTTTCTTTCACTGTATGAATGCACAGATAATGAGATAATGTCAATTCCTGTTAAAAAAGATATTAAATATCTAGGAGTTAAGATAGTTGCAGACGAAAAACAAAGAGAAGAAATCAATATGAAAGAAAAAACTGATCAAATACAAAAAACTCTGAACCAATGGCTTAGCAGAGATCTTTCTATTTTTGGGCGAAATTTATTGTCCAAGTCTGGGGGTATTTCCCAATTGATCTATCCATGTCAATCTCTTCATATCGCTCCAAAAACAGTGAAAAATATTAACGCTATTATATACAAATTTATATGGAGAAATAAAACCCACTATATAAAAAGATCCCAGTTAGTCAATGAACATAAAAATGGAGGTATGAAATCTGGATTTTGAAGCAATGCTGGGAACATTTAAAACAAAGTGGCTGAAAGAATTTCTAATAAAGACAGATACAATTTGGTTTCATATTCCAAAAAATGTCTTCAAGAAGTTTGGGGGGCTAAACTTTCTTTTGAAATCACTAAATTGCCTTTTAAATTATCTGAATTTCACAAACAAGTATTGCATTATTGGAAGATGGTATTTACCCATAATTTTACTCCTCATTGTGCCACCTTGTGGAATAATCGAGTAATTGTTGCAAACAAAGTCTTTGTTTAAACAACAGTGGTTTGATCAAGGAATTATCTTTGTACACGATATTATGGATAAAGATGGTGAAATACTACAGTTACATAATTTTGAATACACATTTAATAACATTCAATGTCCTCTTCAGGAATATAAGAAAGTATGTAAGGCTCTACCAGTGACTTTGATACAAATGGTAAAAAACACAATTCTCTTCTCTAATGTTCAATACCACTTCCTAATTTATTAATAGGAGAATTGAACATCACAGCAAGAAAATGTGAAAATAAATTTTTAAATGGAGCCTTTAAAAAATATACCCCTAACCCTAACCCACAGACGAGGAACTCCTGGAGGCCATGCAGGAATCTCCAGAGCTCCTTGCTGCAGTCCTCCCTCCCCCACCTCCTGCTGCCAGCTCTAAGGTGAGGCATCAGACATTAATTCAATTCAAAGAAACTTCATTAATCCCAGAGGGAACTTAGTTTCAGTACACAATTCTGAGAGCAGACATATATGGGCATAGACACATGACAAGAGTTGGTGACTGCAACCCGAGTCGCCTTTCTTACTCTGCTGCTTTGTTTTCTCTCTCTCTAGATGCTGCCTGAGTCCTGGCAGGCAGCTCTGACTGCAGAACAGCAGGAGTGGATCGGCCGGGTGCTGTTCACCAGGGACGATGCTGGGAGGCCGCATCTCATCACGGAGCTCAGTCCCTGGTGGTACCCTCCCCAGCCCCGGGCGGTCTACAATCAGCCTCCCGCCTCTCCCGACCCCTTCTTTGCATGTCGGCTCTTCCTGTGGATGCCTCACAGGATGTGGCACCTGCAGCTGACGTGCCCCCAGCCTTTGTGCAGCGGCATCCTGATAAAGGCTGGGCTCTACAGGACCATCCGGAGGGTCCTGGACATCGACGGCTGGTATCTCATGGCCACTGAGTACCTGGAGTGCCGTCGATGTAAGAAGAAGGTCGGAGGGTGGTCACAGGGCATCTTAAGGCAGCTGCCCCCCACCTACAGCTGCCAGTTCCCAGCTGTCCTCACGTACAAGTATGAGAAGAGTGAAACTGTGTGCTCATGCGGGTGTGTCCACCAGAGTATAATGTGGTAATGTTTGTTTTGTTCACGCAGGCTGTCCTGTGACCAGAGGGTGGTTGCTATGCTGAGATCTCGCACTCTGGGCAACAGTGCCACTCAGCTGTGCAACACCCTGCGGGAGCAGCATTCCGACGCCTGGATGCGGAGAGCGATTCAGTACCTCGGCGTCTGCGAGCAGTTCCTGGCCTTGGGTACCACGAGGGGGGAGATCGCACCACCTCCCCAGATGCCCCCTGTGCCCTCACCCGTCTGGCTGCTGACCGTTTACGGTTACGACGTGCTGACGCGGCTGGACGAGTACAAGGCCAGGATCACGTCCACCTTCGGATCCATCCTAAAGATGGATTCCACAAAGAAGGTCGGTCACCGCGTTGTGTTTACTTGCTGCTTGTGAACAACAGTTCTGCTGGTCTTTACGCAGGAAGTTCTCTGTGTGCAGGTGACGAAGAAGCTCGCAGGTGCCGCCTGGGCTACCAACGTGGGCAACGAGCACGGCCAGGTCCTCATGAGCGTCCTCACTTGCTGCGAGGGCTCCGAGGGCCTGTCCAAGATGGCGGCCGGACTGATGAGGCGGTACCGATTAGCCGAGGTACCTGCCCCCCAGCTCATCTACGTGGACCACGACTGCTGCAGACAGGACGGCGTGTCCAAGACGGCTGCCTTATTTCCGGTATAAACTTGCATCGTTGCTGACTGACTTATTTAGTTGTTTATTTAATTTTTCATAGCAATGATTCATTACTTTGTTGTGAATTACTTTAATGGATCACCAGGTCACCTGAATTTCTACCCAATGTCTTTCTGAAAAATTTAAAACAATCAGACACCCAAATAAATTTCTGTAAAAGACAATTTATAGAGCAGTGAATGTTTTTGGGGTTCTGATCTTGACTGTGGTGCAGGTAGGGCTGCAGCTATCGAATATTTTTGTAATCGAGTACTCTATCGAATCTTTTTTTCGATTAATCGAGTACTCTAATAAATTACCCTTTTGTGTTTGTAAACCTTTATATCATATATTGATGAGCCAAGATGGCGCCGAGTATGGCTGCCTCGTCGCGAGCTCCACCAAGTTCCAACATTACACGCTCCATACTGTACATTAATGCCACTGTTTTGCACATACCAACCTCTGTACATTTTATATCTCTTATCTTATTGTTTACTTTATTCATTTGTATACTTAGATTAGCCATTTTTATATTTTAATTGTTTTTACATTACTGTATTTTTGCACAACTCTATTGCTGTGAAGCTCGCACACAAGAATTTCACTCGCATGTACTGTACCAGTGTACCTGCACATGTGACGTGACAATAAAAGTGATTTGATTTGATATCAAATAGCATGTTATAATTATGAAAAACCTCTTAAAATGAGCAAGCAATTGCCAGTTATTCAAGTTTTATTCAAAATTAGTTTGCATAACTTCAGCACTTCAACTTTACTTCACAGTAAACAAATGCGTGTGCAAAAAATAAGTAAACCTGAGCCGATTTTCCCCTCGTGCGAGAATCTGCTAGCCTGCAAGCCAGACAAAAACTAGGAGGATAACGCTGCGAGCGGCTGCGGCCCAAACAGAACCAGAACCGCTCACGGCGCAAACAGCTCGCCGGCTGTTTCCCTATTAACACACGTCCGTTTTAATTTCCACACTTTTTTTCTCACACTAACAAGGATTGCCAAAAGCATGTTTGCTGTGGTTTTGTCAAATTATACTGATCACAAAACATGTATTTACTTTCTTTCGTTTTTCTCCGCCACTCATAAATACCCGTGTCCTCCTGCAGAAACCCCGAGGGACAACAGACATCAATAACACAATAAAAAGTCTGACGTGTTGTGTAAAAACTGCTATTTTTAGCACATTTTAAGCCCGACGTGTTGCTACCAGATGTACGGTGTGAGCTGAAACTGAGCGCTACAAATGAAAAAGTCGCACAGTGTCCGCAGAATATATAGAAAAACAGGCTAAAAAGCATTATCTTGTAGAGGCTCCGAGTCCGCTTGCAGAAGTGACATTTACAGGTGCTGCAGCACGGAGGATGTGGTGTTGTGCTAGGCTAAATCCATTTTTACAGTATTTATACTGGACTACGTTTTCCGCCTAACGACGTGAAAAATGGTTCCACAACTTTGACATTTTCTGTCTTTTTCGCACTCCACCGGGGTCCACGTTGTCCGCCATGGCTTAAGAGAAAGTTAAGTTACATTCGCCACTCGCGTGTGCATTCAGTCCAGTGGGCATGTGCGTCACTTATTTCGGTCCGGGTGAAACATGACCCCGGGCGATTGCAAAGCCATGAATTAATTAAATATGAATTAAACGAATCCTCGAGGCAGAGAATTTGACTCGAGGATTTTTGTACTCGAATTATTCGAGGTACTCGAGGAATCGTTTCAGCTCTAGGTGCAGGTAAAACATGGTGTGCAACACTCCAATGACTAACCTCTCTGTCGCAGGAGTGGGAACGGCTCATTGTTCGGCTGGACATCTGGCATCTGATGCGCCGCTTCGCATCAGGTGTCACCACAGAGAGCCACGAGCTGTATCCCACCTTCATGAGGCAGCTGTCTTACTGCATCTTCGAGGTGGACGCCGAAGATGCTCGCCGTCTCGTGGGAGCCAAGCGGTCCGAGCTGGAGGGGACGCACGGGATGGTCAACCTGACGGACGCTGATGTGATCCAGCGGATCAGCAAGGAGGAATGGAGGCTCCACTGCCGCAGGAGGACGCGTGGAGCAGAGGAGTCGACGCTCCTCATCCAAAACCTCCTTGACACCTTCAGAGGGCCCGCAGGACACAACACGCTGAACATCCCGTTGCTAAACGCTCTCCACATCCAGGACATCTGGGACACGCAGAGGCGCCACCTCAGCTGCATCCAGGACCCCCCTGGCATGCAGCTGTACACCCAGACGGGCAGTCTGCAAAAAGGAGGGGTCAGGCTGCCCATCTATCGCTGCGCGAGGGGCTCCACTGCCCTGGAGTCCTTCCATCTCCACCTGAACCGCTTCATCCCAGGTGAGAAACCAGAATCTGTCAAGAAATCAGTTTTATTTCTGTAAACTGTTCATTTTCAGGTGTCAGTAAAAGCTTAAGCTGATTTTATAATCTAATCACGCAGGAACGTCGGCCAGTGCCAAGTACTTCCAGGCGTTCCTGATTGATGGACTGGTCAGGTGGAACGAGGACCGCGCAGCGGCAGCTGAGGGACACGAGGCGCCTCTGCTGTCCTACAGTGGCCACCTCAGGCACACCCTGAACCAGAAGAGCCAAAGGGTGTTTGGTCATCAGATGGTTAAGGACTTCACCAAGCCTGCTGCTTACACAGGTAGACGAACAGAGGAACACGTTTTATTTACTCGTGACTTTTAATGACACTGTGCACCAATACTTTGCTAAGAAGGAGCTTTGAACCGTTTACATTTCCACAAAATCTCAGGTGAGCTCATCGGAGTGGACTACCTGTTCCAGCAGACAGGCCGCGTGCTTGAGGACATCAGCATGGACCCTGACGCTCCGGACGAGGCTGCTGCCGTCACCGACCTGGACGAGGGCACACAGGAGGACGTGGGCGACTACGTCGCCGCCTTCGTCCTTGACGACCCGTCCACCAGCACTTCAGGAGCAGCCCGGTCAGGGGATCCAGCTGTCGCACCCGGGTCTGAGCCAGCACATCCTGCCGCCCCTGCGCATCACGCCCCTCCCGAGGTCCCTGGAAGCCAGACTCCTGAAGAGAAACACTCCTCTGATTCAGAGGTCTTTGATCCCCCCTCTGCTAATCATTTCACAGCTGACCCACCTAATTTTGTTTTTTCACGTATTCAGAGATATTTCAGAAATTTGACTTCTTTTTCCCATTTTCTTTGTTTCTCAGAAGGAGATCCAGGGTCCTGACGGCCAGACAGGATACCAGCATGTCCTGAAGCTGGCTCAGGCCCTGGTGGAGCTCAGGAGTCTCCAGGGACTGTCTGACAGCAGGGTAGACAGACTCATCGCGCTTTGGCAACGCCTGCCAGATCGTGACAAACGACGGATCGTCTACCCTAGCAGATGCCGGGAGAGGCTAGACGCCAGCCGTGTGGTGGAGGCCATGTGCAGCCAGCTCTGCCGTCTGCACCCTGCGGCCAGTCGCGTGGACGGGGTCAGCAGGTCACGCTGGTTCCTAATCCGCGACGACTACATGGCCATCAGACAGGTGGTGCTGTATTGCCCGAGGCTGATGGCTCAGACCCAGCTTCATCTCTATGAGCTGAACCAGAAGACCATCTCTCAATGGTGAGAACTGGTAGATCTTTGCTCGTGTTTCAGACTTCAGGTTAAAGCTTGCAGCCTCAACTCAGCTCATCCTCTTGTCCTTTCAGGTTCCGCCATAGACAGAAGGGGTGGGAGAAAGGTGTGCTGGAGCAGGGAACTGGCACCGTTTCTGCTCCAACTTTCTCCCACCAGCCCATCCCTTCTGTGAAAGGGCTGTCCTCCGTACAGGTGGGAAGAGGACAGCCCTTTAAATACAACCTCCCTGAGGAGCAACAACCTGGTCCCTCCTCCAGGGGACTGCCACCGCCACCACTACCTCCACCTGCTCCTCATCCCGGTCCCTCTACCAGCTGCAACCTCCCTCCTTCTTCTGCTCAGAGCCTGCGCGCCATTCGTCCCTTCCCGGGGTCCACTCCGCTGACTCCTCCTGTTGTTTTGCCTAGGACAACAGCATTTAGAAGGAGGAAGGCAGCGGAGGCTGCTGCTGCTGCTGGCGTGCAGGCTCCACCATCAAAGACAGCCCGCCAACAGTTCACCTGCAGCAGATGTGGTCAGCCCAAGCGGCTGGACACTGGCCACACCCGCATTGCAGGTGTGTCCTACTGCGCATCTGTTGGCGGGAAGTCTGTAGAGGAGTGGAAGAAGGAGATGAAGAGCAAGACTGGAGGAGGGCCCGAAAAACAGTGACTTTTTGGGACATTTTCTCATTTTTTAATTTTGGAACTTGTAAATATTGTAAATAATTTTTAGATGTTTTTGTTATTGTGATTTTCAGTATTAAAATGATACACACTTTAAATATTAGACTATTTTTATGACCTTGGACACAGATACATTTATTACATGTTTTTTATAACATAACAAATATATTTGAACACAAATATATTTATTACGTTTTTTATAACATAACAAATATATTTGAACACAGATACATTTATTACATGTTTTTTTATAACATAACAAATATATTTGAACACAGATACATTTATTACATGTTTTTTTATAACAACAAATATATTTGAACACAAATATATTTATTACATGTTTTTTATAACATAACAAATATATTTGAACAGATTTTTGTCATATATGTTCTATAATTTTACATGTGTATTATCACAAATATATTTCACAGCTCAGTGGTTCATCCCAATTTTAACTACATTTAAATTGGTAATTATTTAAAAAGATTTATATAATTAGTATTATTAGTATGTAGTATATATGAATAAGTATTATTATGCATATTATCACTTTATCTTTATTTCCACTTTGTATTTGCACCGAGCGGGAGTCGAACCTACGTACTTGGACTCCGTCTCGGCGGATGGTGCTTGTTCTTCTCGCTCCTTGCAGCTTGTTTTCTCGTGTTTTCTCGCGCTCACTCCGGGAGTCGAAGTGCGTAGGTTCGACTCCCTTCCCGCTCAGTGCGAATACAAAAGTGGAAATGTATGCGAAATCTGCATAATAACACTAATTATTATGTAAATAATTTTTCACAATTACCTCTTTAAATTTAATTATGATTGTGATGAACCACTGAGCTGTGAAATATATTTGTGATAATACACATGTAAAATATAGAATACAGGTGCTGGCCAGTAAATTAGAATATCATCAAAAGGTTGAAAATATTTCAGTAATTCCATTCAAAACGTGAAACTTGTACATTATATTCATGCAATGCACACAGACCAATGTATTTCCAATGTTCATTACATTTAAATTTGATATTCATAAGTGACAACTAATGAAAACTCCAAATTTGGTATCTCAAAAAATTAGAATATTCTGAAAAGGCTGAATATAGAAGACACCTGCTGCCACTCTAATCAGCTGATTTACTCAAAACACCTGCAAAGGCCTTTAAAAGGTCCCTCAGTCTTGTTTTGAAGGCACCACAATCATGGGGAAGACTTCTGACTTAACAGCTGTCCAAAAGACAATCATTGACACCTTGCACAAGGAGGGCAAGACACAAAAGGTGATTGCTAAAGAAGCTGGCTGTTCGCAGAGCTCTGTGTCCAAGCACATTAACAGACAGGCGAAGGGACGGAAAAAATGTGGTAGAAAAAAGTGTACAAGCTCTAGGGATAACCGCACCCTGCAGAGAATTGTGACGACAAACCCATTCAAAAATGTGGGGGAGATCCACAAAGAGTGGACTGCAGCTGGAGTCAGCGCTTCAAGAACCACCACGAGGAGACTCATGAAAGACATGGGATTCAGGTGTCGCATTCCGTGTGTCAAGCCACTCTTGAACAAGAAACAGCGCAAGAAGCGTCTCGCCTGGGCCAAGGACAAAAAGGACTGGACTGATGCTGAGTGGTCCAAAGTTATGTTTTCTGATGAAAGCAAGTTCTGCATTTCCTTTGGAAATCAAGGACCCAGAGTCTGGAGGAAGAGCGGAGAAGCACAGAATCCACGTTGCATGAGGTCCAGTGTAAAGTTTCCACCGTCAGTGATGGTGTGGGGTGCCATGTCATCTGCCGGTGTTGGCCCACTCTGTTTCCTGAGGTCCAGGGTCAATGCAGCCGTCTACCAGGAAGTTTTAGAGCACTTCATGCTTCCTGCTGCTGACCAACTTTATGGGGATGCAGACTTCACCTTTCAACAGGACTTGGCACCTGCACACAGTGCCAAAACCACCAGCACCTGGTTCAAGGACCATGGTATCCCTGTCCTTGATTGGCCAGCAAACTCGCCTGACCTTAACCCCATAGAAAATCTATGGGGTATTGTGAAGCGGAGGATGCAATACGCTAGACCCAACAATGCAGAGGAGCTGAAGACGACTATCAGAGCAACCTGGGCTCTCATAACACCTGAGCAGTGCCACAGACTGATCGAGTCCATGCCACGCCGCATTACTGCAGTTATTGAGGCAAAAGGAGCCCCGACTAAGTATTGAGTGCTATACATGCACATTCTTTTCATGTTCATTCTTTTCAGTTGGCCAACATTAGAGAAACAAACATTTTTTCATTGGCCTTTAGAATATTCTAATTTTCTGAGATACCAGATTTGATGTTTTCATTGGTTGTCACCTATAAATATCAAATTTAAATGTAATGAACATTGGAAATACATTGGTCTGTGTGCATTGCATGAATATAATGTACAAGTTTCACGTTTTGAATGGAATTACTGAAATATTTTCAACCTTTTGATGATATTCTAATTTACTGGCCAGCACCTGTACATATGAAAAAATACATCTGTGTTGAAATATATTTGTGATGTCATAAAACATGTAATAAATGTATGTGTCCAAGATCATAAAAACTTTCAAAGATTTAAAGTGTTTTCGTTTATATATATATATATATATATATATATATATATATATATATATATATATATATATATATATATATGAAATAAAAGAAAAAGTCTTTAAAAAGAAAAATCCAAAAGGTGAAGACAGTTTTTCTGTCTTGGTCCCTCAGCTCCTCGACACATCCAATCTCCCTCCAGTGTTATTCATCTCCTCCTCCCTCCACTCCTCTACAGACTTTTCCGCCAACAGATGCGCAGTAGGACACGCCTGCAGTGTGTGTCCAGTGTCCAGCCGCTTGGGCTGACCACATCTGCTGCAGGTGTACTGCAGGCGGGCTGTCTTTGATGGTGGAGCCTGCACGCTAGCAGCAGCTGCAGCAGTAGCCTCCGCTACCTTCCTATACGAATGAAATCGACCTAGGCATAGACATTCTCTTAATTATCTTTGGAACTCATGACTTCAAATAAAAGTTTTTAAATTCTTGCAGTGAGCTTTTATTGTGAAGTTTCTTTCTTTACATGTCCATGTGTACAGCAGGTTGTTGTTAACACATTTAGATTGTTGGTATTCTTGTCGGATCATTTATTTACTGAAGAAAACAGCTTGTTCCCTCAGCTCTTCAACGCATTCATTCTCCCGTCCTTTTCAGGTGTAGATAGCACATCTTTGGAGGAGTTTACAGGAAAACAGGAGCTTGGGTGAGGAAATTAATAAACCACTGAGGACGAAGGTTAGAAATAGTGTGACTGGACAAAAATCCCAACAACAAACCAGGTGTGGTTCACAGATAAACAGCCAGCAAACGTGGGGCGAAAACCTCGTCACACATGTGAGGAGAAACTCTGCTGCTGAGCAGCAGGTGGTGGAGCGGATTTTTTACAAGCCACATTTATTACACGTTAGAGAGCTTCACAATTATGTTTGAGTTCAGCAGTGTCACCGGTTCATTATTGGGTTTCTTCATCGACTCCACAGAACTAAGTTTCTCTGTCTAAAGTCCAAAATTACTTTATTAATCCCAGAAGGTAGTTAAGATTTGTCTTAACTAATTATTCAAAGCAGTCTTTAAAATAAATACTAGTAATAATAATGAGCTCAGTTGGAAATCTGAGTGGTTAAAGATGCTGAAGGCTGTGGGCAGGATGGATCTCCTGTGTTACAGCAGCTCTGAAGAAGATGCTTGTTGCATGAAGAGGATGCTCAGTGTTGTCTATAATGTTATTGATTTTATGAAAAATCCTTCTTTGCACCATCATCTCCAGTGGTTCTCAGTCGTCTCCAGAACAGAACCAGCCTTTTTGCCAGGTTGTTGAGCCTTTTTAGGTCCCTGCTGGCTCTGATGCTGCTGCCCCAACAGCTGGTGGCCCAAGAGATCTCAACAGACCTGTAAAAGATCTGCAGCCTCTTGCTGCAGACCTTGAAGGATCTAAAATATTATTCAAGATATACAGTCTACTCTGTCCCTTCTTGGAGATGGCTTCATGCTTGTGTCTCCAGTCCAGTCTGTTGTCCAGATGAACACCGAGGTATTTGTAATCTTCCACCACCTCCCCCTACTCCCCAATAATGCATGTTGAGCTATTCCCGTTTCTTTCTAAATCATCCAATTTGGTTTGTTCACATTCAAGATTATGTGAGTGTCCCCACACCACGCCACAAAGTGGTCCACCAGCTCTCTGTACTCTTGACCATCTCTCATAAACCCGACGACTGCAGAATCGTCTGAGTCTTTCTGCAGATGACAGGTCTCCGACTTGTTCTGGAAGTCTGCAGAGTGAAAAGGAATGGTGAGAGTACTGTACAGGCATCAAATGTACAATTGTGGAATAAGTTTCCCAACGAGCAGATCAGTATAATATAACATTAAACAAAGAACATAAACAGGGAAATACCAGTTTAAAAACATGCTTTTACACACATAATACAGAAAACAGAGAACTTTGTGCCAACTGGGGACGTGGTGAAAGATCATTTCACACTACTCTCCTCCTCCTTAGTTCAGAAGAAAATATTACCATATCTTAAACATCGCTCGTAGGACAACAAACTGTTTTTTTAACATGTTAAAAGTCTAATTGTTTTTTTAAAGTAACAATTGTACGTCTCAGTCACTTCAGTAGTGGAGGAACGCCAGCTCAGAGTGAAAGAGGATCTATTTCAGAGTTGAAACAATCCAGCTCTCTGATTGGATGCTGAAAACCTGTGCTTCTCAAAATTGAAACAACCCAGTCATTTGATTGGTCAAATGTTGGAACTGAGCAGGGGGACACGCCCCTAACTGCTTCATAACAATGTCATATTAGGGTTAGTTATGTTATTTAAAAAAAATGAGGAACGCTTCACGAATTTGCGTGTCATCCTTGCGCCAGGGGCCATGCTAATCTTCTCTGTATCGTTCCAATTTTAGTGTATGTGTTAGCGAGCTAACACGATGATGTGACGATTCCTGAGCCGATTTCCAAACTCAATGATTGGGCTGTGTACTAACTTACGGTGTCAATGAAAGGACCCAGCTGCAT